TGATGTCCCTCGGTTCTTTTTGTGTTGGTTCGAGTGATAGAGACCCCGGTTAACCTGAAGCTCTCATCTTTGTTTTTTTTAGTTTTCATTTGCTTTCGATTTCCATTTGCGAGTAGTGTTTAAATCAAACCACCCCCAAATTGCGAGTAGAATGTTTAGGACCTTTTTGGTTGTGTGATTTTGACGACTAGATAGTGAACGAAGCTCCGAAGAGCCTTCCTTTGAGAACGACCCGAGTCGGGTAACTCGGTTACCACATGCCCAAAAATATACTCAACGCATCTATACCCCAGAGACGCACCCTCCTTCCTGAGGACATTCCCCTCCGGCTTCGGACGCTCATTCGGATGGACCAGTTAGAGTACCCATCCTTCAGATTCGGTCGACCGCCACCTCCAGCCCCTGACTAGATTCGGCCGACCTCTTATGAGGACTCGATTTTAGACTCTCATCGCATATTTTGTGACCTTTGTAGTTTTATTTCCTGTTTTATTTTTAGTTTTTATTTTCCTTTTATTTTATTTTCTATTTTCTCTGCTTTTGTTGTTGCTCCATGTATTTCCGACTTGGATGTAGACCATTGACTTTTTTAGCCCTAGCTGGGCCTTATATTCACAGGTCGGGGGTGTAGCCTCAACCCCCCATCCCATTCTGGGATGTTTTTTGGGAAAAAAAAATACATGAACTTTAGTGGATGTAAAGATTTCAATTACCTGAATTTCTATTGGAACTTAATTTTTGGACCATATTTCAATCGTTGAAAAAATTTCATTGGTATTATGCAAAAATTCAATAGAAGTTTCATTGGAAAGATAATTGCCGTGATAGATACAAAATACTTTCATATTGGGAGCATTATTTAGTTAATAGAAAAAAATATACCATCAAAATAACATGTCATTGCAATTTATAAATTATACTTTACATAATCTATCACCTTTCTCATTTGTAATACATTTTAATAAATCTATGCAATCACAATAAGGTAAAATATATTTAAGAAACCAAAAGTCAAGATTTTTCTAAAATCAACATAAGAAAATCATTATATTTGTTTTAATTTTTGTTGGAATTTTCTCATTTTTTTGTAGTAAAACTAAGACTCCAAATCTATTAAAAAAATGAATTATATATAATATTGTGTGCAACTATTATTATGAAATTTCTTGATACGATAGAAAATATAACACATTCAATGCAAACAATATACTTTGAAAGGTCCTTAATTATTTTTTTAGTATTGTAATAACTAAATAAGGGGTAAGAAAGATGACAAAACTTATAATTCTCATTAAATCCAAAAGTAAAAATGCTGATAAAATTATTTAATGTACAATATCAATTGGAGCTGGCTAATGATAAATATAAAACATACTTAAGATACACATATATTTTAACTAGAACTTTTAAGTACATAATATATATATATATATATATCTATATTCATATGTATATTTCTATAAAAGTGGGTATGTTAATATTAAAATTTTTTTAGTTAAGATTTTTATTACTTTCTATCATTAATTTTTTTAATTTTCAAATACTTCATATTTTTTATTTGTTACCTTTTTATATGTAATATATCACATCATTTATTTTCAATGATGTTTGAGTTGACCCATATATTTCAATAAAATAAAAATAATATAATTATTTATATTGATAAAAAATAATATATATATATATATATCAGTACTAATTTAAAATAATAAGTTAGTCTTAAAGTATATAATATAATATATTTTATATTCAAGTTAAATTAATTTTATTAAGTATAAAATAACATAAGATAAACTTGTGGTATGTTTTCCATACATAAATTTGAAACAATTCATATTAAAAAAAAAAAGTAAAAAAATGGGTGTAAACTTCTAACTGTTCCCACGTTTTGGCTAGAGCGCCCAAATCCGATATATGTTTGACACGAGTTTGTCGTAATGCTGAAACTATGACAAATGCACCTTAGGGTACAAACGAAGCGAAGCAATGTGAAGCCATAGATAAAAGAATAGGCTAGGCCAGAGAAAGAAAATGAAATAACATTAGATATATGAAGTCAATTACTGCTGCAAAATGAACCCTATAATGGTGGTACCATATATGTGTTAAGTGATTATGAAAATGACTTAGTTAATTAATATTTTATCAAACATTGGAAAAAATTCTAAAACTTTTTAATCTAATAATTCGTATAAAAAGTACAATTTTATCAAATATATTAAATACATTTAATCTTACGTGATTATATTAATTGTAGCCTAATAAATAAGATAATTTGATACCATCATTATATAAAGCACATACAAAAAATAACATAATACGTATTCGACTGTTGTGGGGGACGTATTAGTTAGTAGTTAGTTTGTTTTGTTTGTGTTGTGTTGTGCGTGTTTTGTGTCTCATGTTTATTTTGTGTTTTGTGTTTTTGGTCTGGGCTGTTGGCCCCTGTTAACCTAGGTGTTACCTTATTCTCCTGTTGGGAGCAAACACCTAGGCATTCTCCTGTTGGGAGCCTTTAGTTTTTAGTTTTGTGTATGTGTTGT